CCCTCACTGATTACACTGTAAATGATAATCTACCTTAACCAGAATCAAAGTAGACTATCACTCACCCACACCAGATGGAAAACTCTACAGACTGTCGGTTATATATATATATATATCGTCAAATAGAACTGCCCGGTAAACCGTAGGCAGAGAGGGAGAAGAGGACAACAAACGAGGGGCTGTGAATATATATATATATATATATATATATATATATATATCGTCAAATAGAACTGCCCGGTAAACCGTAGGCAGAGAGGGAGAAGAGGTCGGCAACATTCCAATAATGACGGCCAGAGGGAAGTTTATTATTAATGGAGCTTGTAGAGTTATAGTTAACCAAATTCTACGTAGTCCAGGACTCTATATATCACTTCGATCCCTTTTTTCTTTTTCCTTCCTTTTTTTTGACGTAGGGTGGCATGTATCGTTGGGCCTCAAGGCACAGGGCAACAAATGGCTAGCCTCCTCCTGATGAGACCGGAGCGCACCCTGTTGAAACATGTAGAGGAATGCGTGCGCATTTTCGAGCATGGGTACATGCTTGTTTACTTCTTGGTTGCAATATCGTTGAAGCGCGTGTGAAGAGCAATCGGCCATACCTCGTTTTTCTCCTCCTTTTCTTTGACCTTTTTCCTTTGTTTTTTTACAATAACTAAGACCTAACCTTCATTTTGCTTTTTCAGAGTTTTTCTTGCTTTTTCTAAGTTTTTTTTTTCTTTTTCTTTTTGTTGTTCCCTTTTGTTTCTGATGACAACGATCCAGCTCTCTCTTAAAGCATAAGAGACAATTTGTAAATTTCTAAGTTTTCTGACCCATTTATTTATTTCCTAAATTCACCTGCGTGAATGTGACTACATGCAGTGCAAGTGCGCTTTTCCATGCATGCATACATTATACACACAAAAAAAAAGGCAAAATGGGTTACGATTTAGAAATCATTAAAAAAGGCCACATTAGGGAAAAGATTTCCCGCCCATATGCTGTCAGCCATAGACAGACAGACATTAACCCTCTTACCGAGGGAAGGAGGGGAGCAAGAAAAGGGGGGGGGGGGAGGAGGAAATGATCTCTAACCTAGTCTGGTCAGTCGTACTCTTTGCCTCCTCGTCGACAAGATTCTCTGACAGATCCTGACCTGCAGACTGGATGCGGAACTCCTCGATCACATCCTTTGCGGTCTTCGAACTACCACCGAACTCCTTCAGCAGATTGGTGAGACGAGGCAGCTTTCCCATACTATTCACATAACTGCAAACAAACAGAAACGGAGAGAGAGAGAGAGAGAGAGAGAG